TTACTTTAAAAATTACTTTAGAATTATGAACATCTATTCACAACTAATAATATATGTCCTCTGCCTCTAATAATTTTCTGAGGATGTTTTTCTCTAAAATTTTAATTCCTTTTTAGAATAATTAATCTTATTTTTTTACTTGTGCTGGAAAATAGTAGCTGCTATGCAACTTCTTCCAGCATACCTTTCTTGTTTTGAGGCTGATGGTGTGACTAGCAGCATTTTTTAGTTTATATGTGTAGGGTTTTAATGCTTTCATTGCAAGGTAATTGTAAGAAGATGAATTGTTAGAAGATGAAATAGTCTAAGGAGCTTTAAAATTAGACAGTGAGGGAAAAAGAAACCACCCTCCTCCATCTGATCTTAAAAATTGGAGCTTTCTTATGGCAATATGTTTTAGTGCTGGCATTTAGTGCTAGATTTGGTGTTGTGAAACTTTTATGAAACTTACACAAATGTTAAGAAGTACAAAGCTTTATCATTAAGAATGCTCATGCATGTGGAAATTATTACATGTTTTCATCCTGATTCAGAAATTTAATTTATACAGTAAATACCTAGTTGTTAGATACATTAGATCAAAGAAGTCTACGTAATTGGCTGCTGACTCTCATTTCATGAGATTTGATCATGTGTAAAGAGAATGTATGAAAGTAGGTTGTCTGTCTTTTGTTCTTTTTAAAGCAGTTGGTGTTATGTGAAATATGTCTTGCTTGCAATTCTATGCTTTGATAGTTTCAGCAGCCTAGGAAGAATGAATCTGGTAAGCAAAGCTATTCAGAATTTAAACGGGCTCTAGACATATAGTGTATGTCTGCCTTTGGCCTCCTTGATTTAATAGATTTGCTGTTTATCATTTTCTACAAATGGAAACAGAGTTTTTCTTTTACATTCTTTGTTGGGTGTGTCTGAACTTACATTTTGGGTTCACTTTCTTCTTTTAAAACTCCTACAGTTACTGGCTTAATATTTTAATGAATGATGAGTGAGTTTGTAGCTGTGCATTGGCAGTTCTGTCAGTTCCCAAGAGCTGGTTTAAAACAACCAGCTTGAATGACTTAAAGTTCATTGATATCTGTTGTCATACTAATAACATTAGGAAAGCTTCATGTATTATTGAGTCATCTTGTGAAAGCTGTACGTGAAAATGGTGTTGTGAATCATAAATTGCTGCTTAGTGCGCATTAATATGGATTGATTCTGTTTGTTTTGTAGTAAATAATTCATGTTTCCCAAATGGTTCTTATTTTTAATAGAAAAAAAAATCCACTTGAATGCAGTAGACTGTATTTTTCAGCATTCTCACTAGATGTACGTATCGCGTGGTAGGAGTGGGCTGTCTGTTTCTCTAGCAACCTACCTTTTTTTTTTTTTTTTTTTTTTTTTTTTTTGCAAGAGGGTTGTGTATTAAACTTCTAACGCTAATCTTACAGGCATCTTTAGTACTGGAGGGTTAGATTTGCTTTGCTTCAGCTGTCTCATACCTGTTGAGGAAACAATAGCATATGCTTCCGTTTCTGAAAGTGTTGGGAAACTGTGATTTATTATGACCTTTCAAATAGAATGCACCTTGACTGAACAGTGCTATGTATGCTAAATACAAAGATAACAAGATAACTAAGGTCAAATCTTGTCTTAAAACTTTAATATTTGGATAAATATTTCCTAAGCTACTTGTGCTATTTGCCTTGGAGTTCTTAAAGCAGTTACTTGCAACCCTTTATTTTTAGTATTGCTATAGCATTGGCATATCTTTCACGAAGTAAAGGGCTAAATGCTTCTGTTTACATAGTGCACGTTACATGCATTTTCTGACTTCTGAAGTGCTGCTCTCTCTGGGAAGATAGCAAATAGGTTAGCAGATGAGAGTGAGAACTTGTGTCTAATTCTCTGTCTGCTAAGTTAGTTTAGCTATTTTAAAAGTAAGCTTTACCTTTAAAGAAAAAAAAGGAAAAAATCTTGATTACAATAGCTATTGATGTAGTATATCTGGGCTGCATGCTCTACTAAGACACATTTGTTTCTTTTATTGACAGCCAAGTTAATGCTTCTGTCAGAACCACACTATCATGTGCTACCAGGATGCATGAGATCAGCCTTGGTGAAATTGTCTTATATTACCTGTCGCATACAACTCAGTCTGACTTATTTGTGTGTCCCCCACCCAGTCCTTACAAGCTAAGCTTTGGAAAAAAGTTTTTGAGCTTAAAATATGTACGTGTTAGGAATAAAAAGCTCACCAATCCCAGGTAATGCATTTGACTGCCCTTCCTGAAGAAGGAACATAGTCTGTTTTATTCCAAAGCTCAGGTAGCAGTATTTTTTTTTTTCTGATAATGATTTGTCCTCTCCTCCCCTGAACTGTGAATGGGAGCTTCACTTGGTGATAGCAGTTCCCTTAGCTATCACAAAACCTTTGTAGGGAAAAAATTAACAGATAGGCTTTTAGCTGGGTTTGGAAGTGGGTGGGAAGTGTTTTTACAGGGGTAACTTCCAGTAACTGTAATTCTCCAGTATTTGTCCAGCAAGCACTGCTGCCCATTTGATAAATTAGGTGAAATTCAGTGTTGGCACATCATTTTCCATCATCTTATGTCATCTGTGCTGAGACAAAAGAGCCCTGGTCATGAGATAGCTGAGCTTGGCTGATGCTTGGCACTAGTGTAGTTAACTTTGCAGTAACAGAGTCCCTTGTTCTCTAAGAGTGCCAGTCAGAACCATTTAACTATCACAAAGTTTTTGCTGCCTCAAACCTGTAGCCACAACATTACTTTAACTGCTGCCATTGGAACGAAGAGACTGGGATAAAATCTGCAGTTTTGCAGGTACCGCATGACTGTCCAGACACTGAATCATTAGTCTTACGATGTCCCTGAAAAACTAACTAGCTGGGTCATTAGACTTTGTGTCCAGCGTTTCTATAAAGTTTCTCTCTGGGTGACCATCTTTAATGGACAAGTTCTTAATTACACACGTATCTCTACAGAACCATTGAGACCAAGGACACAAGGGAATGAAGAGGTTGGATACTTGCATGGCTAATACTGTTTTCTGTCTTTTACAGAAGTTTTAAAAATCCTTTTTGCAGGGGAGCAAAGTCGGTGAGCTCATACACTTCATATAGTACGTCAGTCTTTAAAATGGACTAGAACAAAATTTTCCTTTGAGTGAGTTATGGAATAACTTTTTTCATCATGAAGAAACCATGGATTCTTGGTATCTTTCTCCAAGACAGCTGTATCACTGGATGTAGCTGCAGATCAGTTGCTCTAGTATCATTTCTGCAGTAGTATAATTGGTGTCTGAGAGTGCTGACAAGTCTAGGTCATTAAGGAAAAATATAATGAATAATTT